GAAAGTGGAGTCGGCCAGCTAGTTTCTGGCGATGTGGTGGGGCTGCTGCTGTCCAGAGTAAATGAGGACCCTTTATTTTGAGTAGGCAAACGTACAATGGGTCTAGCATCTCGGTTGGGATGCGGTACACTGGGATTCTCACAACTCAAAATATGGTGATAAACTTTTTTTACGTGTGCCGAAAAATCAAGTTCTTGATTCACCATTATTTTAAAAGGGAACTTTTCTTCAAAAAAAGTTACATCCCGAGAGCTATAAACTTTATGATTTTCTAAATTGAAAACCCGATAAGCCTTCTGACCATTTGGATACCCAATAAATATGCAAGGAGTCCCCCTTTCGCCGAACTTATCTTTGCGCTTATTGTCATGTGCGTATACCAAACACCCAAATACCCGTAAGTGATCATAGGTAGGTGTCTTACCAAATAGCATTTCATAAGGACTTTTGTTAAAAATAATTGGGGATGGGAGCCTGTTGATAATATAAACAGCAGTTAAAATGCACTCTCCCCAAAAATTAACAGGTAATCCAGACTGGAAACGGAGAGCCCTGGCAATTTCCAATATGTGTCTGTGCTTACGCTCCACGACCCCATTTTGTTGTGGTGTGTCTGTGCATGATGTCTCTAACAATATCCCATTGCGTCCATAATAATCAAACAGACTGTTTGTTTGAAATTCTACGCCATTATCAGCCCTTATACGTTTGACCCTTTTTTCAAATTGGGTATCCACCATGTTGCAAAATTGAATTAAAATCTGAGGAACCTCAGATTTATTTTTCATCAAATAAACCCACACACCTCTAGTAAAATCGTCAACAATAGTTAGAAAGTATCGTGCACCTGAAACCGAGTCACACGTATAGCCTCCCCAAACATCACAGTGTATTAATTCAAAACAACGGGCTGTCCTAATTGCACTTGTAGGGAAGGATAATCTGGTCTGCTTGGCTCGGACGCAAGGATCACAAAAATTATTGTTTCGTTGAAAACCCTTGAGAGAACTAATGTGTTGTAACTTTCCATCAGATGCATGCCCCAGACGCTGGTGCCATAGATCGGGGGTAATAGAGACTGACATTGCCACCTTTTCACTTATCGGAGACTCCAAGTAATAGAGACCATCACGAAATTTTCCCACGCCAATCAGCTTCCTCGAGGGTACATCCTGCAAGACACAGAAGTCTGAAAAGAACGTAAGTGTACAATTTAGATCGCTTGTTAGGCGACTAACTGAAAGTAAGTTGCATTGAAATTTTGGAATATATAGAACACGTTCAAGACGGAGCCCATTGGGTAAGTATAAACTCCCGGCAGCGTGAACCGGAATTGATTCACCATTGGGAATTCTGACCGAGGATTCTGACACACAAGTAACGATGTTAAAAAGGTTAATATCACTACAAGTGATATGTTCAGTAGCTCCGGAATCAATTATCCAAGGACGAGCATTTGGATTTGTGTATGCCATATTTACGTAAGTACTAGAAGAGAAACAACTCTTTGTTTCATAGTTGGTCTCAATAGTTACGTCACCAACCGCCATGGCTAAAGAAAATAGGAGAATGAAAAACTAGAGTTTTTGTTTTCAGGATTTCGACTCTGATACCATGATAGAATTGATATTGATCGAATATGAAGAGAGAATGTAAAATGAGAAATTCATAGAAGAACATAATGCTTTCACTTAATTATTATTAAGGCTGCGTATCCTTATATAGTACTAGTACATTGGTTGGGTGGGTGTGATAAGAAAAGAAAAACAAGTGCATGTGAGGAAAGTACGTATGCATGGCATATAGCATGTGATACTTACGTAACAATGTTTAAAGGAAGTTACCATGCAAGTACCTAATAAATAGAAAATATAAAAATATCTTCAATAGAAGATGCGAAATAAACCCATCATAGTTAATTTAATTACTTCGTTTTACAATTTTTTAGTTTAATTTAAGTATTTTATTTGTTATTTTAGTTTGTGATAGTGTCTTAGTGAATTTTAGGGTGCTTTGAATCATAAAATGAAAAATTAGGATTTAGGAATGTCAAACGGATTGTGAATTTCTTAAAATATTACGGAGTAATATGAATTTATTCAAAAAATAAAAATTAATATGCCCAAATAAAATGTTGATTAGTTTTTTATTTTTTGCTAAGTTTAGTAGGTACGGCTACTCAATCTACTTCCAAAAAGGCAAAAATCACATTGCGTTTGTTTTATAAGCCTAGTACAAGGACTCAAAGTAGAAAAGAGTTAAATGTCTCAATTGAAACTCCTAATATCTCATCTGTTCAAAGAGAATAGTTTCTAATGCACTTGAAATTGAGCGGGATCCGGGAAAACGCAAAACGATAAGTGATTAGCCTTTAGAGAAAATAGATGAAATTAGACGATCTTATTTGATGCTTGGACCTTATCAACCGAAATTCAACTTTTACAGAGGCCGAGTTTACAAAGATAGGATACATCGTTTTCAAGTTAATTGTTTAAAAATATTACTATGAATTTTAATGGATTTTAATCATTATGTTCACACTATTGTCGCTTTTAAAAAATTTATATACTGTTTTTAATTAGTGTATAGTCGGCCCAGGGTAAACATCGATCCTGGCTACACCCCTGGTGTAGAGAGTTTGTGTGAGAGGTCGGCAGAGGAATTCGTGTGAGAGGAAGCCCGATGATGTCCTCTAGAGACCCCTCGCTCGTCGAGGAGTGAGAGAAGCTGCCATCCGATCTTAGAAGGGTTGAAAATCATGGTTTTTTTTTAGAATAGGTTGAAAATCATGGATTAATAACTAATAAGTTAAAGGCATATTAATCCATACAAGTTATTTATTAAATATACTCTTCAAACATAATCACTTTGGGAAAACACTAATAAGATCACAGACCGAAAAAGAGAGAAATTTTTAGTCATTATTAACCAGAGAAAATGATCACAGATTTCCCAATTAACTCTTGTACACATCTAAATAGTGTATTAGTAGATTAAAGGATTCTTTAGTAGATTTCACAAAATGATCATTTGGGAAATCTATGATCATTTTGTCTAGTTAATAATGATTCTTCTAACATTAATTATAATCACTACACATTATATTAATTTTACTCATATACAAATCTCCATCAATGCAATGCAATGCGATATATACACACACACACACATATATATATATATATATATTAGTATTATCTATCATTACTTAGTATGTGTAAAGAATACATGATTAAAATATAAGATGTGTAGATAGAAATAATTTCTTTATTAGTCACACAAGAGAGTAATGATTTATACCGTCCGCATGTGTGTATTTTCCAAAATTATTATTTTCTCCTTTAATCTACTGATACACTATTTAGATGTGCACAAGAGTTATGTTCATAAAAAAGCTACTCTTTCAAGTATATACTTCGTATAATATATGGTGATTATTCAATCCATTGAAATATGAGGTTTTTTAATACTATTAAAATAAAAATTTACTAACAATTATGTGACTAAAGTTACAATGAATATGCATTTATAGTCGATATAAAACTTGAACAATCTTTTAGACACTAAAAGTAACTAAATCACAATTAGTTAAAAAAAGTACTTCACAAGTCTCAATCTAATCGCAATTGTCATAGAAACTGTGATTATTATTTTAATAAGTTACTTTTTCACCATCATCATCAATGTTTGTCTCAACATCATAATCTACAACAACATCATCAGTAGCCCTTGAAGCACCACCATCAGTTTTAGTCTCATTTGGGGTTGCTGCAGGAGTTTCAGTCATATGTATAACCTCATAGTCATTATAAACTCTCAATAATATATTTCTTCAATAGTATTGCAACTGCCACATTTTTTGCCAATTCATCAAGCCAAAGCCAACGAATGCCATCAAGATCTACCTCAAAACTCCTACGTTGTCCACTCTACGTCAGTGTATTTTTATTCCCTTGTATTCTTTTGGTGAACATATCTTTTTAGCTCAAGCATGATAGTATAGTATATAGATTTAAATTTGGGGGTGTCCACAACTAGGAGTTGAATGGATTTTAAAAGATCAATCAATTTTGAAATTGAGGGATTTTACAAGATTTGTGGTGGAATGTTTTTGTATATAGAAATCCATCAAAATAAGTAACAATAGAAATCCATGAAATGTTTGAGGACACTCTTATTTTCATAGATTCCAAAAAAATTCAAATCGGGATCACCTAAACTCCATTAAAATCCTCGAGAATCCAAATCGGGGACACCCCCTTTTCTTGAGTATAGCATCAGAAATTTGTAATGGCTTGCTAAACTTCTCTACAATCTTTAAGTAGTAAGACAGTGGCCCAGGTCATATGTACCCAGCCCATTCGCATAGGGCCCAAAATTTTAGAAGCCCCCAATAAAAATCAATACTAGTATTATACTGCCTAGGGTCCGAAGCTTTGAACTGCTAAGAGGCCGTTTGACAACACTGTTTTTCGACTTATCAGGCTTATCAACCAACTTTTTCATCAAACAAGTAACTTTTGCTTTCGCGCGCTAAATTGTGTAATAAGCAGAAAAAGTAAGATTGAAGTTACTTTTGTGTTTGTATTGACTGAAGTTACTGTGGATGACTATTTTAGCTTTTTTTACATATAATTTTTCTTTATTTTATTAATAAAATATATTTCACGCATCTATTTGGGCCAGCACTTCTTAAATTTTTCTTAAATTTTTTCTTAAAACTGAACGAAGCGCTAACGAAGGGAACCACAAGACTGAAGGCTGAGGCTTAGGCTTTGTTTGCAATTACTTGTGATTAAATAAAAACACTTTTTGGAAAAAAGTGATTAGTAGTAAAAGTTGGTAGTGTTTGTTAAAATAAGTGCTTTTTGTGTAATAGAAAAAGTAAAAAGTAGATTCTACACGAAAACCGAGATAGTAAAAGTCTGTAGTGTTCAGTAAAATAAGTGCTTATTAACATTGATTTGCAAACAGAGCTTCTTAACTGCGAAATGTCCAAGGAAATACAGAACGAGTCCTGAATAAAGACCGCCGACGACTGCCGCTAGTCAGCGCCAGGCCTCCAGCCTGCCACCACCGCACGTCCGCACCACGCAGCGACGCCCTGCCTGACCGCCTCCAGCCTCCAGGACCACGACCGCACCAGTCCGGCAGTTCACTATCCACGCTAGGCCGCTACCCGCACTTCTGCAGTAACCGGTAAGCAACTAAGCAGAATTTTCTGATTTCTTTGACTTTGATTCTTTGAATTCAAGCTTACACCCCCAAATGAAATGCTAGGTCTCCCCCTGCATATGGCCCCTATCTTTCTCACTATCTAACTCTCACTCTCGTGGTTGCTTATGGATTCCCTAGTCCAGTTCTAGATTCTGGCATTTTGGTTTCTGCGGACTCTGGATTTTTTTGTTTGTTTTTGTTTTCGACTTTTGTTTTACATTGCAAAGATATCTAGGTATTTAATCTGATACGCCCCATCTTCTGTGCTTGCTACTTCAACCTCCAATTATATAAAATATTCTCAAAAAAAGTAGTGTTCATACTGTTCAATCATCCAGATACCAAACTCAATAATAAAATTAAAATTTTCTGTAAGTAATGAACTTTTAGATCTAAGGAGGAAATTCCATATCTGACGCACCACTCAAGAATCTGATTTCCATGTTTCAGATGAGTATTTTCTTTGTCATAGTTTTTAATGTTATCAGTTTTGTGTGTGTGTAAAATATATATAATACACACACATATGCAGTCTGTATTTTCAGTTTTTATTTATTAGGAGCAGGTATCCCATTTTTTTTAATGTTAATATGATCTACTCGTATTACATTACTTTTGTTTCTCACTTTCTCAGGCCATTTTTTTTTTATATAGTCAGTAGTGGTGTTAAAAAGTGAACGTTTTTAGTTAAACTTATAGAGTTAGAGCAAAACAATATACTCAAGTAGTAGTATTACTTATGTTTTTGATAAATATTCTTTTAAGCTGTAGAGTGGAGGTACACGACACCTTTTCACAGCTTTTGAGTTAGAATTATTTACTCCGTGCTCTGATTTACTTTTTCTAACACTGGCCCCCGCTTCCTGGATTTAAAGTTATCACTTCCAAATAACTATGCAATCTGACCCGATCAAAAGTGTTCATGTGCATCCCCCCAGTGCTATAATTATCTCGTGCAACCGCCTATTGTACACATCTTTACCATAATTGATGAGAGCCTATTATATTGTCATAATCTTGAAGTCTTAAACATATATTCGCATAATCTTGCCCCAGAATAAAAATGTTGTATACGCCACGGTTGCCAAGTTTGCAGAGTATAATGGTGGAATTTGCAAGAAAAGCACACATTGTATAGCATGTTTACTGATGTGGATCTTATTTATTATTGAAACTAAGCCTGTAACCTTTATATTTGTTTGGATGTTTTTTTTTATATAAAAAGTGAATTTAAACAAGCCCATCTGTAAATCGTTTAATCTTCTTAAGACTCCAATCTTAGATTTTTCAAGGTTGTGACCCAGTTTTTCAGAATATCATTACCTTACATTTTTCGAAAACGAAAGGCATTTTTGAGTGTTTGCATCTGTTTTCTCATTTTGCGCTTTCCATTAACCTGCTTCTTGGCTCAGCTATATTCTATGTAATTTTATTTGAATACTAACCTTTGTATTTTGTTTTGATGTTTCAGTGAAGGAGGCACAATGAAAGTAAAGATTTTGCGTATCCATTAATTCTATATGGTTTATTTCCAATATGTGTCATCAGCATGTACGAGGAAGGATGTTATAACTAATTAATTACAAGTTAATATGTACAAAGTATGTGATTTACAAACCAAAATTTAAATATTTATCACCATTACCCAGCATAATTTATGAAAACCCGTATTATATAGTTTTGCTGATATTTTGATAAGTCTAGATTTCGTGACAAGATTTATTTATTTTTTAATTGAGATTTGCTTGGCGTGTAATTAGATAATGTGTAGTTGATCATCTGTCTAATCTATTTGTGGAAAGTTTCTTGAATTCCTCTTTCAAAATATGGATGAATTCTTTTGCCATCTATTCTTGAAAGAGTATATTCTTACTTCCAGGAAAGGCCTAATTTTGCGAGTGGTATATACCTAGAGTTGAAATAGTGTCCCTAGTCCCTACTGTGCCATCTTTTGCTTTGTACTATCTCTGTCCTCTTTTTATCTTCATTTTCCCTCTTTAGTCTCATCCTCAACTTATCTTCACTTTCTTTTTTAGGAAAATATAACAGAGGAGATAACAATAACAGAGGGGGTAATTTATAAACTATGATTATTACATTAAATTTGTTGTTGTTTAATAGTTTAGAGTTGTTCTCCTTTACGCCATGCACATATTGCCACAGACTTCTTCAGATTCATAAGTGCATATCATTTTGAGACTGAAACTTAATTAATTGTTCATATGGAACTAGTTTTCCCTTGACCAACAACTTCGCCATGTGCTATTGGCCACTATGAAAAGAGTATGCCCTTTCACTACCTTGATATTTCTTTGTTCATGTTTGAAAGACCTGTCTTGATGGTTCTGATTATATCATGCTTACTCATAGGCAACTAGTTTTTATTTTATGGGGGGATTTATGCCATATGATCTACAGATGGCATGCTGTTGCTTCTTGGACATGGGATGCACAGGATGAAACTTGTGGGATATGCAGAATGGCCTTTGATGGTTGCTGCCCTGACTGCAAAATCCCTGGGGATGATTGCCCTTTAAGTAAGCCATGGAACTTTCTGCTCCCATTGAACCTCTCTGTGCCTGTCTTCAATTTTTACTCATTGTTCACGCTGTCATATATGAGCATAATATGCATGGAACAGATGTTATTGAGTAGAGGCAGTACTATTTCTCTCATGCCTTCTTGTTTTTCCTGAGAGAGGTGGAAAGGTTGACTGTAGGGCTTTATGATGGTGTGATGGCTGTGTCTAAGGGCTTGTTTGGTTCAAGAACTTCTAGGGGATGGGATGGGTGATATTTATTATTAAAATATCTGTATGCTTAGCTGGTTGGAAATCAGGTGACAATAGCAAACTATAGAAAAATACATGGTCTAACTAACCATATAGTTACTTATAGTTTAATAAAACTCAAATCAATCCTCCCCTTCTCTTCCCTCTGAAACAGTGAAACCCGAACCAAACAAACCCTTAGAGTGTACAGTGGTCCAAATAGGGACATATTTCTAGTTCATTTACTACCTACAACTGTTAAGAGGGCTTGAGAGTAGAAGATAATGTGTTCATGGAGGAAATGAACTTCATGCGTCCACAGTAACTTGTTAAAACAGTAAAGCGGTTTTTTTGCATGTCTACTCCCAGAGCAGATAAACCCAACTTATGATTTATTCTATTTTGGATTTAAATGCTAAGTTAAAAATACTACATTTAGCAGCCTCACTTGATAGACACGCGAGCACACACACACATATAATGCAAAAGACCATTGATAGAACACTGGTTAATCAGACTTGGAACAATATAGAATAATAGAATCCGACTTGAAGGACTTCGGTGGAAACAATGAAGTTTGCGCATTCTGAAAAACGGTTTGCGACCCAACTTGCAAACTCCAAGAATCGGGCAGCGACTGTGAAGAAGATTGCGAAGAAACGGCTTGCGGAGAAGATTGCAACCGGTAGAAGCAGTTTGCGATGACGATGATATCTGCGAACGAATGAGGGAATCGACTTCTGATGATGAACTGTGAGAAACGGTTGGCGACAAGGATTGCGAACTGAAAGAAGTTCTTGGCGATCGCCGATCGCTAATCCTGGTTCTCTGTCTTCCGACTGCGTGTAGGTTGGAAACACCGAGTTATGGCTTCCTTCACAGCCTCCCAATTATTTTCTCTCGTTTGAGTTTCCCACCATGGAAACCAGGCTAATGCCCTTTCCTCCATCGCACCTACTACTTCAACTTTATCTTTTTCCGCAGTATCCTTGAGACGGAAATACCCTTCCATCCTAACAATCCAACTATCTGCATCATCCCCGTTAAACAATGGTAATTCAACCTTTATTCCCGTACGAACAGGTCTTCTACTGTTATCGCGATCCACACTAGAACAAGAATGATCAAAATTTCTCGCGCCTCCGAGATGCGAAGTGCGATGTGAAGGGCGCTGCGAGCTGCGCGGAGTGAGCGATTGATTCCTTGGTCGATTTTCATCTTCGCGAGTGTCTCCTGTATTATAGCCAAATCCATCGCAACTTTTTCCATCGAGGTATGGTTCTGCTCTATGGTTTCCATCCTGTTCTCCATTTTTGGCTCTCGTCTAGACCTTCCACAACTGAAACAGAAATTTTCTAGTATTGCGACATTATTCCTAGCACCAGTACGAAAATACATATTCCGGACCAGTTAACTTGCAAAAATCATTTAAAGATCTTCCCGATTGATTTTTTTGCTGAAATTTGGTATAGATGAACTAGACTTGATGAGGAACATACACAAAAAATTTGAGCAAAAAATACCACCGGGAAGGCCCCCAAATGGAGGAGGCCGGACTGGGCTCCTGTCCGGAATTTGCGGACAGGAATAATCCTGTATATATGTATATGATTATATATTTATATATATTGTGTATATATATTACGTAGTACGTGGTACTCCCTATGTCCCTCTTATATTGTTCTGTTTTACCTTTTCGGGAAGTCCCACTAAAATTATCTCATAGCATATTTGGTAAAGTTTGTGTGGCTCTAAATCATTCTTACTTTATTCTTACTTGATCAATTGATATCAACCACACAAACTCACTTTTCTTAAAAATCGTGCCACCCTTTTCCGTCCCAATATAAAAGGGACGGAGGTAGTATTTCATAAGTCATAAGATTGTCAATGTTAACAAGGGTGTTATCATCTGGCAAAATGTACACTAACAAAAATATTATTTTAATTTTTATTGGCAAGATAATAAATCATTTTAATTTTAAAAATGGGTCATAACATACTATCTCCAAGATCTTATAAGAAATCACTAATAGAAACATTATATGTGGAATTGATTCCTCCATCATTTGCAATGGAGCCAAAAACTCATTATTTTTTGGCTTGAGAATATGATGGAATAAAAGTATAAAACAAAATGGCTCATTAAACTGTATGCACTTCTTTGTTATGAAGCAACATTTGGTGTATGCAATCTTTGACGCGATTTTCACTATGGGTCATCCGGAAACAGCCTCTTTGTACTTAAGTACAGGGGTAAGGCTGCGTACATCCGACCCACCCTACTCCACCGTAGGTGGGAGCCTTTGCGGCACTGGGATAATGATGATGAATGATGATGATGATATGTGGAATTGATATGGATGTGACATCGATCTACTTCACCGCTTTAAGCATCAAGGTGGCCACTCTTAATAAATCTGCCTTCACCACCTCAACTAGGAACCCTGTGGTTTAAATATGATTAAAGGACGCACATTATGTGCATGTTTGATAGTCTAAGTCCTTATCTTAGAGCTATTGTACATAGTATTATTTTAAAAGTCTCTAAAAACTCATGTATATTTAGTAAAACAATTTTTGAGTGTTCTTTTTAATTTAAGATTCTTTTGAGAAGCTACATTTAGTAGCTTGTGAGAGAAAGTTTATAGCTTTTAGCATTTATTAAGCACAACGTGTTATTATACCAAAAAAAACTAAATCAAATGGCAAGCTTTTATCAAATATTTGCAACCTTTTTAAAGATTTTTCAATCACTAAAAACTAATCCCTCCGCCCCCAACTTTGTCGCATTAAGTTTGTCTCATACCATATTTGACAACATTTGAGTAATTATAATTCATTTTCTTTATTCCCACTCTATCAATTCAATACTGACCACACAATTCCACTTTTTTCATAAAAACCGCACCCAGCCTCTAGTCCTAATCTTAGAGGAACGGAGGTAGTAACATTTACTCAAAAAACTCACCAAAGCGTATTTTCAGTTATTTGTGCCAACCATATCATATGCCACATTATCTTTGCGTTATATAATGTGATATTGAAATGATTTTTTGGCATCTTCCCTTACACCATGAAAGCAGAGTTAGCTGTTGGTGAAGGTTTGGCTCGTTAGGAATCCTTTTCATTTGGGCTTAAGAGTTAAGACGGAGGTTGCTCTTTTTCCGTCGATGTTCCGCTGAAATCAGCCGTTAAGCCCATTTGTGAGCTATTTCTTTATCACATGTAGTTGATGTTTGCATGTGGATGAAGTGGAAATGCCGAAGCATAAAGTTAAAAACCAAAAAGATTTCACAAACGCTTGTAAGAAAGTGGGGAAAATAGATATGTCATTGGTTTTAAGTTTTAACTAGTAAACTGCAAAAAATGACTGCTATGCTCATATAAATGTTTTTATGCAGTTTGGGGAGCTTGCAACCATGCATTCCATCTTCATTGCATATTGAAATGGGTGAATTCACAGACTTCACAAGCTCATTGTCCTATGTGCCGCAGGGAATGGCAATACAAAGGATGATTGCAAACTTCACCAGTATTTTTCTGATTGGAAGAATCTTAGCAGCACGAATGTTCTTGTTTTCTGGTCTTCTGTCATCTACTCCTACATTTTTCTAAACTTTCTCTGTATTTCTGAGATTAATCTTCGCAGACTAGATACCTAAATCATCTTCTCTCTATCTACTGAATATTACCAAATTAAAAGGGGATTTCTTCTTATTCTTAATATCGTTTTTTTTCATTCTTTGTATTTCAAAATGAGCAAATCAAACCTGCGCCTTTTTTTTTTGGAAGTCCTTTAATTTTTATCATTTATTGTGCAATTTTTAGTGTAAATCGTTGCAAAAACTAAGAGCTTAATAATAATCGTCGTACATCCATGTTGTATACAGGGGTGTCCATGATGTTGGGATGCCCTGGGCCGAAAAGTAAATATACTATATTTAAAAATTAGCGGGGTAGGCTAAATATGAAAAAATTAAAAATTTACACTAAAAAATTGAAAAAAATTTAAACTGCCCTAGGCTTCAGCCCATCATAGCCCACACACAGATCCTCCCCTGTTTGTATACATTGAACAAGTAGGGAGTGTTTGCAAAAGATTAAAGGGCTTTCATGTTTTTATTTTATTTAAAGAAAAACCGAAATTGATATTTTCAAGTGGCAATTGTGGTTAAGTTAAACATTTTAAGTTAAAACATAAAAGCTGAAAGTATATCAGCTTTTACTTTTTAAAATCTTTTTCTCAAATATTGTCAATTTTTATTATAAAATATTTTTTACAATTACAAAATCACTTTGAATGCAACAAATCACTTTAATACATTATGTGAAAATTATAAATAACACTCTGTACTACTTCCAAGTAGGCATGGACTCGAGCCGGGTGGCCCGACCCGGGACCGGCCCGAACTGGTGGCCTGGCCAGGGACCGGTCTGGGTAGGCCCGGCTCGGTGGTTTTACGGTGCGGGCTCGGGTCACCCAATAGACGAACCGGTGGCGAGACGAAGGGACGGAAGGCCCTTGCTTGCGAACTTCTTTATCTTGAGTAGGGAAGGAGTGGAATGAAATGGAACGACTGAGGTCCCATTCCTCACGTTTACCGTTGTCCCCAGACTTCACTCTTTCAACACTTGTATACTTTATAAAGAGTCAGGCATGCCCATGTCCCTGTCTCCAAGTGTGTGATTTACCGATTCACTGAGTGAATCTTACCGCTGGGGTCCCTGTCCGCCCTAGCACGTCTTTCGACCGCGGCTTCATCTGCAAAGCCGGATTCTGTTCACTTAGAGCATTCTCCGGTCTCCCTATGATAGAGCGCTAACGGACTATTATCTTTCAGACGTTGCTTCATATCCTCTGGCTGTACGTGTACGATAGAGGTCTCCCGTAGACCTGGAGTCACTTGCTGGCGATGATCATAAGTCCCCTCTCGCTGAGCTATAGCTCGGGCTTTGCCCCTCCTCTTCCGTTGGACTTGCCGTGGCTGCTTGAACTGGCCTCGGCTCTCTTCCTGATGATATAGTCTTTCGATGATCTATAGCTCCTTGCATAGCGAGTTGCCCGGTTCCGGGCCTTTTTTTTCAATTTTTTTTCTTCAGGAATGGGCTGGGTGTTTTGGGACATTTGGGGTGGTTTGGGGGGGGGGGGGTGAGGGGGGGGGGGGTCGGGGATTAATTAGAAAAGTAAAAAAAAATAGGAAGTGGCCCGAGGCCCGGCTTGGCCCGACCCGGACCCGCCGGCAACCCGGACCGGTTCCTGTTCACCCATTCTCAAATAAAAGCCGGGCCGTGCCCAAGCCCGAACCGGAACCGGCCCGGCCCGGGTCCACCCCTACTTCCAAGGCCTAATGCCCAATTTGAAATTACGGTTGCAGACTGGAAGTTGGAACAAGTTCTTATTAGAAAAATACTTAAGTGAGAAAGTACTTTTGACGGAATGAGTCAACGAGATTGACTAGCGGCACAACTGCACAAGTTAGTGGATTGCCAGAAGATCTTTGACAATTTGCCTGTTTGGTCATAACAAATACTACCTCCGTCCCACTAAGATTGGGACGAGAGAATGTGACACGATTATTAAGAAAAGTGAGTTTGTGTGGTTGATATTAAATTGATAAAGTAAAAATAAAGTAAGAATGATTTAGAACCACACAACCATTACCAAATTTGGTATGAGACAATCCTAGTGAGACTTCCCGAAAATGTAAAATGGGACAATCTTAGCGGGACGGAGGGAGTAGAAGAAAACGCCAGATTTCTTAACAAAGGGAAAATGGAAACTAATAATCCAACTTTTAGCGGTCTAAAACGCTAACCCAAAACTCTCGTATTTGCAGTGTTTTCATATCAGCGATTCCGTCCAAAAACACTAGGGACAGATAACTATTTGCCAAATAAGATTTTCGTTCATTCAAAATGCTAAAATGGGTCAAATCGTTTTTTTTGCCGTAACGGCATTTTGCATACACCCCCTAATAGTTGCTAAGTCATATTTTTACTCACCACTTTTCCACGAGCAGTAGTAGTAGTAGAGTTTTTTCATGTATTTATGTTTCATACGGAGTATTATTCTTCACTATTTTTTTTATGCATGTACTCCTATAAATTATGTAAATTTGTGTGTTCTTACAAAACTATTTGGCTAAGTTTTATTGTAAGATAGGAGCATAATAATTTAAGAGGAACAATATACTTTGACTTTGTATCTATTTAAAAAAAAACACTTATGCATCTTATTTTTAAAAACAAATATGCATCTCATATGTGAATATATGAAGTATAAACATTGATTTTCTAATTGAATGAAGTGTGCATATTATTGTTTGAAAAAGTGGTGTAAAGTTAAATTTGACCCAAAATGGCACAATGTATTGTAAAAGTCAAAATTTTCTAAAGTACACCGAAAACATAAAATAGCATCTTGAAGGGAATATCTTGCTGCCCAATCCACACTAAACTAATCCAACGGCTGCAATTACCCTTACCCCTTCTACATATACGTCGCACCTACCCCGCTCTTCGTTGTCGTGCCGCATACTCTCGTTTTCTCCGAACCTGCTCTGTCTTCTGCGATCCAAAACTCCACTTCCATGGCTACCATCAAGTGCCTCAAGGCCCGTCAGATCTTTGACAGCCGTGGCAATCCTACCGTTGAGGTCCGTCATATGATCTCCTCTTCCGAATCTGCGATCAGCTCATTTTTGAATTTGGATCCGTTTAATCGGATAATAAGGTGTTTATTCGCTAATATCAATGATATGATTATTTGCAGGTTGATGTGCATTTGTCTAATGGCATCTGGTCCCGGGCTGCTGTTCCCAGCGGTGCCTCAACCGGTAAACTTCTCTCCCTCTTATCACTTTATCAGTACTAGGACTATGATGATTTATGTGTAAACGTGATTATGTTTTTGTCAATCTTGAGTCTGTTTTGTTGTGATCTAATAGGATTGATGGTCATGATAACTTTCTATTAATTACATTATGGCGATCTTATGTAGTTTATTATCTTGAATAACTTGTATAGCAATCAATGTGATGTTAAGTTCATAATTTGATTCGAATAAGCAAAAAGTTTAAAAATTGAATAAAATCAAATGGGTATAAGATGTAACTAAACATGTGTTAACACATTAAGAAAACGAACAAGGAAAGTGAACCCATAACTTATAGTTTTACATGCCACGCCATAAACAGATTTACATACTATTTACAGTGTAAATGACTTGAACGTCATACTCAAACCGCAAAAATAACTGGTAAAATCACAATAGCTACCACTTTAATATCATACTCTCTTAACATTTTCTTAGAACATATCATCACCGTGATTTTTTATGCTTTTGCTCTGATTCTATGGAATTCTGTAGGATTCTATTATGGTGTTGCATGACTTTATGAATATACAGTTTGATGAATGCTAATTCTGTTTGTTTGGTATTAAGTAGTTTGTAATCTGAAATTCTATTTGTTAATTTTCCATCCAAGGAGCGTTTCTCATTTTTTTCATCATTCAGGAATCTATGAAGCCCTCGAACTGAGGGATGGAGGATCAGAATACCTCGGCAAAGGTGTTTCAAAGGCTGTTAATAATGTCAACTCCATTATTGCCCCTGCACTTGTTGGCAAGGTTTGTTTTCAAATATTCACCTGGACATGCGTGTCAATTTGTTTAGTTTGTTTTGGTGTTCAGAAGTTTATTTTATGAAATAAAACCTAATACTATCTTATATGTCTAAAATAAGGATAATGGACAAAAATGTGTCTTAGCTTTTAGTAACTAATTTTGTTTACATTCTATGTTGCAGTGACCTTAAAAGTAAATGTATGCTCATAGTCACTTTAGTCATTTTTTGCCAAACACTTAATTGTGGTAATATATAAGGAAAAACCTCTTATTTGATTGTAATGCATCTGCAGGATCCTACTGATCAGACCGCTATTGATAATTTCATGGTTCATCAACTTGATGGCACTCAGAATGAGTGGGGTTGGTGCAAGCAAAAGGTAACTAAATTGTACTGCTAAGTTTTGCTGCTGTTGTTTTTACATTGTACTCATGATTTTTTGCTTTTGCTGTTGCTGTTGCTGATCCAATTTGTTTGACATCCTTTTCCAGCTAGGTGCAAATGCTATACTAGCAGTATCTCTTGCTGTATGCAAAGCAGGTGCTGCAGTAAAAAGTATTCCTCTCTACCAGGTATGTTCTGGCTGGCTGAAGCGATTTGACTTTTCAAGTGTTGTTTAGCACAATTCAGGTTAATGTGTAATTCACTTATTATTATTATAAGTAATAGTTATACACTGACTTGTTTTTCTTTAACAGCATATTGCAAACCTTGCTGGTAACAAGAAGTTGGTCTTGCCAGTCCCAGCTTTTAATGTCATCAATGGTGGATCCCATGCTGGAAACAAACTTGCCATGCAGGTCTGTCTCTGACATTCTACATGCACTCGGTGTGACATACAATGCTCATTGAAGGTTTGCTTGCTGATGGTTTTGTTTTTAGGAGTTTATGATTCTCCCTGTTGGAGCTTCCAGTTTCAAAGAGGCCATGAAGATGGGTTGTGAAGTATACCACCACTTGAAGGTAATTTGATTCATGATCAGAATTATAACGAGCTACAAATTCTTTTGTGATATTTAATGCTGCTGAGGTTACATGCCAATTTTGCTGCTAGAATACTACTGTAACCCTATTCACACCAATTGAGCTATCCTTTCTGTGGTAGCTGTAAAAAGGTCTACTATACTTCCATACACCATAACCCTGTGCAAACCAATTAAGATATCTTGGGTGTGCTCAAATGGGA